ACCTCCAAAATGTCAACATAATATTGGGATACCTCAATGGCACAATAGACTACGATATTACTTTTTACAAACTCAATTCCTTAAACTTATACGGTTTTTATGATGCAGATTGAGGCGATTGTCCAGACACTCGTTGTAGTACTACGGGCTTTTGTATCTCCCTAGGCTCCGATTGCATATCTTGGTTTTCAAAGAAGCAACCAAGCTAGATCCAATTTTGAAGCCGAATATCAAGCGATGCCACCACCACGATTGAGATAACGTGGATAGCATTCATATACAAGGAAATCGAACTATGACTCCTAAAGCACGTCAGCTCTATTGTGACAACACTAGGGCTCCCCACATGTCCATTAATCCTGTCTTTCTCGCTCGCACCAAATATATTGAAATGGACTATCATTTCGTACGAGAAAATATTTCACTTAGATCCTTAGTGACCAAGTATGTTCCTCGTCAAAGCAAGTAGCCGACATTTTCACTAAATATTTATCCAAACAATCATTCAAATACTTACGGAGCAAACTTATTGTTCGTTCAACCAGTAGTTTAATGATATTGGGTCATAAATTACTCAATCACCAAGCTAAGAATCACCGGATCATAAATGATATCTCTTCATAATTGTGCCAAATTCACATTGGCTTGATTTTGCAAATTATTTAGTCTTAAAGAAACTTCCTTCTTTACCAAGGCAAATCTTCATAATTATCAACCATTTTCCTTATCCAAGCCTTGAATTTTATTCCTTACCTTATTTGTTGAAGCAAGGACATTATGGTTTGGAATAATTGCTAACTTTTAGCTTCTTGCCTTCCAAGAACAACTTACCTTTATAGTTGCTTTCTTATATTTACTCTATAAGAAAATGATCTTTGTAACAAGTGTAAACATATTAATAAGCTACTGGAATGAGAATTTCGTTTTCTTGACTAATCATATTTTCCTTGACTCTTATTTTATAGATCTCGAGAGCAATTTTTAATAAAATGCCACTAATTAGTTCTTCTATTTAGTTTAGCTTATTCTTAGTTAGTTTCATTTAACCATTGAATGCATCTCACAATATTTGCATCGAATTATATTTTAGAAAGTTTTCAAAATCTAACTATTGAATGCATAATGATCAAATATTACAGCGTAAAAATATACTTTTGCTCCCTAAAATTAAAGTTTAATATTTATTTGGTCGCTAAAGTTTTAAAATGACATTTCAGTCTTTGAAATTTGAGAAAACCTGCACAATGGTCCATGAGCTCATTTTGATCCCTAATAATGCTATTTTGTTTTACACCACAGAAAGGACCACAGGTGAGAATTGAGACATGAGGCAATTTTCTTTCTTTTATTTTATTTTATTATGAACCTGTAATAGATGAAGCTGATGGAAGCAAATATTGATTATTTCCCACAAAGATATCTTAGCTATTGCATTTCCTCCGTGATTAATTCCATGGAGGAAATATATCTCATTTAGAGTTGTTGGGAAAATTTACTCACCAATAATATTTTCTCCTTCCACAGTTCGTCAATGAAAACTAAATCACACACAATACTAAGAAAAATAAGGAAAGCACAGAAAACGACACAAGAAATTTATACTGGTTTACCCCAACTATGGCGACGTCCAGTCTTCTGTAACAACGGATTCTACTATGATTTTGGGATAAATACAATGCACCTCACAAACACTCTACAAAGCTCTCTCTAGATGCCACAACAATGGCCACCTAGCTTCTAAGCACTACGGCAATGAAAAACTCACTAACCTTAAGAGAACGTGCTGCCGGCGATGTTCTACAAATCCCTTGTTCTCCTTTTTCCTTCTCTGCCAACAAGCTATTGGCCGCCCAAAAAATAAAACCACCAGCCGCCACTCCCTTCTTGGTTTCTTCTTAACACACGGCCAAACCTAAATTAGTGATTGAGAGAATAACGTCTTTTTTTTTCTTTTCATTCTTTCTTCCCCATTGTTTTGTCTTCAATCCCAACATTAGTGATTGAGAGAATAACGGGATCCTTCAAAGAAGGAAGGTAACTAACCTTCAATCACCAACGGATATATCTTAGATGGAAATTTTGTAACCTTATTGACTCATTCTATTTACCATCTAACTCTCCATATCAGTAGGAAAACTGATTTAATGCTATTTTGCTCGCCGTTGGACTCAATCTTAGGCTCCAATAAACAGCTTGCAAATTTCCTCTTATTCCTTTTTTTATCTTTCATGTACTGCTACATAGATCAAACAATTGTACTGATATTGGGTCAAGTAAATGAAACTTGCATTTTACAAAAATTAGTTGGCTTGAATCTCTTTTAGAACCTATATCTTGAATCCCATTGTACATTAATTATTTGCATTCAATTTTGAATGGCAAACATGTAATGTGGTCCCATTATTCATTTGCATTCAACACTGTGCATTCGTTCATATGCCAATGTAAATCACAAGAATTAAAAGGAACGGGTTCAAACTCATAATGGTCACCCACCTAAAAATTAATTAATTTCTATGTGTTTAGTAGTACATGCAGGACAGTGGATAAACCACTCCTAAAATCGCACACACTCCAAATCTCTCCAAACTTTTTTTTTAAAGGAAATCTCCGCAAACTTTACCATGGTGGAATTCGCCTTGTTACCATTCAAAGTTTATATATATGAAAAGTTAGAAAGGTATAATTTTACTCTTTTCTAAGTAAACTTTAGCCCCTATACCTAAGTAATGGGAAATTGATATTGTGTTGGATAACCTACTAATTATAAAATTCTAATGGCATTAATTTTTTTTGTAGTATCATTCATTTTAATAGTGTTGGTATTAATATTCATGGGGTTTCATCTCAAAACAAATTGACAAGGAAAAGAGTAGTCTATGTCTATTATAAACCTTTATTAGATTCATTCTCTTCTCAATGTGTGAGATCGTGCTAGTAAAAGGGTGTTTGAAGTTTATTTCAAAATCATTCTTGTTAAGGATCCCATATTGAAAAGGAAAGAGACTTTACAATGGTTTATAATAGAATGAGTTACTCCTCTCATCGTTAATTGGTTTTGAGATGGAAGTTCATGAATATTAAAAAAAAATTTAAAAAAAGGTTGAATTGTACTCTGTAACAATCCTGGCGAAAGGATCTCTTTGACTTTTTCTTTTTTGTTTATTTTTTAACCTTTTCTATTTATATTACTTCAAATTTATGATTTTAATTCAGAAATACTAATGAAGTTGTTAAAAATTGCTTCAAGGATAACTTAAATAGAAGAATAAATTAATGAAAATTGAAGAACGAAGAATACTAAAAATATATATGTAAGCGAATTTATAAATCAACTAAGCTATAGATAGATTATTACGCAACACTACACATTGATTTCTTTCATTTGTACGCTAAAAAGAGACCTCACTTGATATTAATGTATTAAATTTTCGTCGACATTTCAATTGACATTTTCACATGTTCATGGATTCTACATCGGCATAAGGGGAGAATCTCATGTAACTACTATAAAATCTGATTGGTTGTATAATATACAAGTGTTTTGTGGATCAAATTTATACTAGAAATGCTTTTGGACAAAGCACTTTATTTATCATTTGTTTTACAAACATTACACTAAAAATCTAATGCTTTTTAGTAAAAGCTTTTTTTTTTCATCGAGTCTAACATGTACTTAACCTACTTGATTAGTAATTTATTTTTGTTATAGAAAAGTGACTCATTGAAATGTTGATATGTTGAACCATTTCACGACCTCCTAAAATTACTATTCTAAAATTCGTATATGATGTGTTTTCTTTTTAATTTAATGATTCTCAAGATTTAATTAAAAACTTGGATGAAACCCGAATTCAAAATAGCGACCAAATAAAAAAAGTAAATAAAAAGAAAGATTAGGGACAAAATCATGTATTTGTTTAGCTTTATAAAACAAGGAAAAAGAAAAATATTTGAAAATAGGACCATGAGGTAGAGTGAAATAATAAAGAAATGTTTATATAATTTAAGGAAAAAACTTCGCTCCTTATCGGTGAGGAGCATTGTGCTCCTTACCCTCACGTGGTCCTATAAAAACAAGACAAGTGTTGGTGGTTGCTTTTTTTTAATTATTTTATTAAATCTCATCATCCGATCAAAATCTCCCCAAATCTGAATTCTTTTTTTAGATTAGTTGGACGACTTTTCCCATTTTTTCTCTCTTGCTACAACTATGAACAACAAATTGCAGAAAGTTTCCATCTAAAATTAGAAGATAGTAAGGCACAGAACAAAAGATAGAAGAGAAATGTTATGCAATTTAAACAGATTCATTTTTCATTCCATAAACTTGAGTTGCATAAAGTTTAAAAACAAAGTGGAGATGTAGAAAATTGAAAAAAAAATGAGGTTACACTACTCTTCTTCAAGTTGAGAAGAAAATGAAGAMGAGGAGAGAAAAAGAAGGGAGTGAGAAGTTGTACGAAGAGAGAGAAAAGGGAGAAAAGTTGTCCAACCAATCTCAAAAATAATTCAAAGAGATATGAGAAGATTTCGATGAGATGTTGAGATTTAATAAAATAATTAAAAAAAAACCAACCACCAACTATTGTTTTGTTTTTATAGGACCACGTGAGGATAATGAGCCGAAGTTTTTTTCCTAATGGCATTAAAGCTGCTGTTTTCGGGAACCCCACCAGTCACCCTCACAGGAACACGTTCTAAATTCCCTCTTCTTTTTTTTTTTTGTGATAGGCTTCGCACTCACCAGTATTATTTGAGTGGCCGTAAACAATTTCTCCCCCCCAGCAACTATTATGATTTTATAAGGGTAGATATGGGGATTTGTTTTTGTGTAATTTTGATAAAGTCCAGGGGCTGAACCGTAAAAAGCCATTATCCAATGGAAGCTGTATAAATAAGCTCAAGGTACTCCCAATTTCTTCACGAAATAAAAGCTTAGTGTAGTAACAATGAAATTGTTTTCTGCTCCTCTCTTTTTCGTTGTGCTGCTTCCAGCAATGGTGGCGGCAGCAGCTGCAGTCGAGCCGCCCTCTCATGCAAAAGGCGCCTATGAACCGATCAAAGATGTGAATGCCTCATTCATTCAGGAAATCGGAAGGTATGCATGTATTGAGTACAACAGGATAAACGAGAAGAAACCTGAGTTTACACCACATGTATACCAGAAAGTGGTGAAGGGGGAACAACAGGTGGTGGGTGGAATGAACTACAGGCTCGCATTAATGGTCACAGTCAACAAACAAAGTCAATATTATCAGGCCATCGTGTATGACAGGTCATGGGAGAGCCACAGAGAACTTACATCTTTCCGTCGCCTCTTGCAGAATTGACCACCTTGAATGCCCCCAGTCATTCTACTGCCTGCTACTGCTACTCGCCACCAACAAATAAAAAGGGTTTCATGGCCTTCTACATGCTACCCTCTTCAACTTTCTACGTTTATTGTATCTCTATCTTTCCAATCATTTTATCTTGAATCTCTATTGAGTTTGCTTTTATATAACTATGTGTTGCACTCTTTTATATATGTTCTCCAACTTAATTAAGGGTTTGTAGTTTTTACATTTTAGTAATCTTGATGGCATGACAATCACCAACAAACTCAAAATCTTGAACGGATGCGTTATGCTAAATTTAATCCCATATTGACATCGTTAGCTATGGCCATGGCACTTAGTGCCTGAGTTGACATAAGAAGTAAAACCGTTTAATTTAGGAAGGATGCGCCTGGCGCCTGGTATTGTGTCTTGTGTCGTTTTGAGTTAAGCTGTAGTAGAAGTGAATTTTAATTCTTCCTAGAACAATCATTTTTCCACTCATTTCGTTCATAAAAATAATTGCCCATCAAACATTTCACTAATTCAAATTTTTTTAAAGAACCATCCAATTTAGAGGAGGTTTGCCTAGCGTCTGGTATTGTATTTTATGAAGTTTTCAGTTAAATTAAAGTTTTTATATTTCGTGTAAACAAAATAATTTTTGGAGTTTTATAAAACTAATTTGACGAGGAATTTCGTGTATTTATGGCATTAAAAAAAAACTATAAAGAGAACATTACTCCAACCTTAAAACTTAAATACTTCAAAATTTTCTAACTTTTTTTTCTCTCATTATTC